GGGGGCCTGGGGTATGGGAGAGGTGGGAGTCCCCGGGGCGGGTGTGGCCGCCCTAGGGGAGGGAGGGAGGGGTGTGGGCAGCCTTTGGCCATCTCTCGGGACTCCCAGGACTGCTAAGGACAGTTGGAAAGTGGTGCCCGGCGTGGGGTGGCCTGGAGGACCTGGTTCCACCCATCGGAAGCGTTTTGGCGTTCTGGATCCCCGTGTGGGAAACTTCTAGACCTGGGGAGAGGGCCCCTGCCCGGGTGGTGCGAGCCGCTGGATGTGGTCCTGGTGGAAACGTGGAAGGGTAGGGCTCCTTCTTGATGTCCGGCTCCGAAGTAAGAGGTAGCACAGCCTCCGCCCTCGCCACGGTCCTCCGATCTTTTCTTTTTGGGGATGTGAGAAGCTCGTTACATTTTCAGAAGCTAGTTTCAAAACTGACATTTCAGTGGGAAAAAAAAAAAATCACGAATGCGTTTGCCAAGGCCCCTGAGTCTTTGTAGTTCGTCCTTTTTCTTTCTCTGTTACTCTTTTTTTATCTGTTCTGGTTCCTGACGGCTTGTTCACATTTTGCTATTCTGTTTCATTCAGCTTTGTCTCAGGGTTTCTTGCACTGATGCTCTGGGCGCCACGGAGGACGCCTTTCCTAGCTTTGGCCTGTGTGAATTTTTTTTTTTTTTTTTTTTTTTTTTTTGCCACTTTGGGAAGGGGGTGGGCCAAAGGAAAGTATCTAGAGCAGTTGGTTCACACACGGTTCTCCCTGCACCTCTACTTGGAAAACCCAGACTTGGGAGTTGTGCCTCCCTCCCAAGTATCACAGCTCTTTTTGCTGGGGTAGAGCTGGGTTTTCTGGGACCAAATGAGAGGGGTTTCCCAGGTGGGCGTCAGAGCTCAGGACAGGCACTTAAGCTCAGCAGGATCTCCCAGATGATAAGCATGGCCATTCGTTTGGCGAGCATTAATAAAGAATAAAGATGGGCAGAGTTTCTTCAACTAGGGTCCCGGGGCTAATCCTCAAGGCAGTTCCAGGACAGTCGGTTTTTCTTTTGTAAATAACTTCTTTTGATTTTTGGACAGTTTTTGTTGTTTTTTTTTTTAAGATTTTATTTATTTATTTGACAGAGACAGCGAGAGCCAGAACACAAGCAGGGGGAGTGGGAGAGGGAGAAGCAGGCTTCCCGCTGAGCAGGGAGCCCTATTTGGGACTCAATCCCAGGACCCTGGGATCATGACCTGAGCCAAAGGCAGACGCCTAACGACTGAGCCACCCAGGCGCCCTGGACGGTTTTTGACTTATAGAATTAGTGGGGACATAGTACAGAGAGTGCTCATATACTCCACCCCTGGTGACTCCTTTTTTTTTTTTTTTAAGAATTTATTTATTTATTTGAGAGAGAGAGCGCACACTAGCGGGGGGAGGAGCTGCAGGCAGAGGGAGAAGCAGGCTTTCTGCTGAGCAGGGAGCCCGATGTGGGACTCAATCCTGGGACCTTGAGATCATGACCTGGGCCGAAGGCAGACACCTAACCAACTGAGCCACCCAGGCGCCCCCCCCACACACACCTGGTGTCTCCCAAGCTTAACACCTTCCTCCAGGAGAGTTTTTACATTCTGTGTTTCTGTGTTGTGGGTAGTCTCGATTTGTTACTAGTTATAAATGTAACATTGTCTTTTAGAAGTAATTTGTAACAGGCGTTTGTGAAAGGGGGAAATCCTGCATTTCTTAGATTGAGATCCTCAGTCAGGGATGATATAGTCTCAGGGGTCTGAAAGAATGTTTCTCCCTTGATGCTCAAGTAACATTGATGTGGGGCTGAGAACGTGGGTTCTGGAGTCAGCCAGAACCCTGGTTTTGTTCGTTCCTCAGGGCTGCCATGCCACACGTGATGGATTAAAACAAAGGGAATATATTCTCTTAGAGGTCAAGGCCAGAAGTCTGAAATCAAGGTGCTGGGAGGGTCACACTCCTTCCAGAGGCCCTGGAAGAGAATCTCGTCTTACCTCAAGCAGCTTCTTCTGGATCTAGGCCTTGCTTGGCTTTTGTCAACAGAACTCCAGTCTCTGTCTCTGTCTTCACATGGCCTCCCCTCTGTGTCTCTGTGTCTTTTCTATAAGAAAAGCCCTCTCATTGGATTTAGGGCTCGCTCTAAATCCAGAACAATTTTATCTTTTTTTTTTTTTAATATTTTATTTATTTATTTATTTGAGAGAGAGAGAGAGAGAGAGAGCAGGAGACGGGGGAGGGTCAGAGGGAGAAGCAGACTCACTGTTCAGCAGGGAGCTCGATGCGGGACTCGATCCCGGGACTCCAGGATCATGACCTGAGCCGAAGGCAGTCGCTTAACCAACTGAGCCACCCAGGCACCCCAGAACAATTTTATCTTTGAGATCCCTAAGCGGGGGCGGGTTAGGGCTTGGACGTACATTTTTAGGGTCTGCTACGTGGACTAGATCAGTGCCCTACTAGTATCTGTGAGTCTTTGTGCCTCAGTTTATCGGTAGAATGGGGGTA